GTCCTGAGGCTTTGATTTGGTCTTGGGCTGCCTCAAAAAGCACCTCGAAATTATTCTGGGAGACAAACCTTCAGAGTGTAACCTGTCTCAGCAGTGGTAATCATGTATCTTACACCTTCAGAAAAGACATGGTACTTTAACTTGCCAGTGGCACTGCGTATCTCCTACTAAACTCACGAACTCACAAACGCATCAGATTCAGGACTTCGTCCTCATAGCTGGACTTTGGACATTTCTTTTGCGAAGTGAAAGGATTCAAAAACATTTAAGGTTGTGAGCGAGCAAGTTGAAGCATCCAAGGATGAGCAAAGTTGACTTAGAAAGAAAATTTTAAGCTTTAGACGAGCTAAAACAGAATCTGGCGTTGTGCCGGTAGCTTCATCATGAGGAAGACTTTGTAGGGTGACCAGGAAGATGAAGTATTTTTGCTAAAGCATGGATATACATATCCGAAAGATAATCCTAAGAAAAGAATTAAAATTGTAATGGATTATCAAAGATGACTATAAGCTCAGGGCTCATTTAGCACACTGACGGAACCATATAACATTAAGCCTATCAAGCAAGCATCCAAGCTACATCATAATAAAGAACTAATGGAAGAATCAAGAATAAACTATTGGGACAATGAGTAAAAAGACTACATATTTTCAGAAAGAGATTATTAAAGCCTTAAAAAATTAGTGTAGGAAACAAAAGATCATGAGAAAAATTAGAAAAGCAGAGTACTTTTTACCTCGAGATTTTCTTGCCCGGAGAATGGAACTGATCTTGGGCTTAAGCCCTCAACAGACCGAATAACTGGATCAGCCGTTTTCTTGAAAGATAGACGTTGTGATAAGTGGCAGCCCAGATTTTCTTGAAACCTGGTGTCAAGAAGTGTCCTGGGTGGGCAAATTCCAAATTGATGGAACTTGTAAACGAGTGCTGTGATCTGTCCTTATGTGCGTGAGAAAGAAAGCACCTTGAGATTACCGTCGGACACAGACCCGTCAGCGTATACCCTTTGTCACGGTGGTGACAAGAACCTGTTACCAGTTGCATTTGATCCAAGATTAATCTCTTTCAGGCTCTCTAAAATCTTGAGTTCCAAATCATATTTCTTTGCAAAACCAACGGAACCCCGAAGCGATAATAGTGGTTTTTAGTTCAAGGACTTTCACGATAGTCACTGACCATCTCAGGTTTTAACGAAAGAAATGCAGCTCCCAATCAAGAAGCAAGTTGTCCGACTGAGATAAGTATTAGCACCAGATTGGGCAGGTGGAAAAGAGCTTGAAATGATCCATCCTAAGGAACTTCTGAAAACAGAAAGTCGGAGAAGTTAAATGGTCACCGAGCATTTAACCAAACACAAAAGAAGAAATTAGCAGGTACAGGTTCTCTTGGTAGTAAATATGTAAAAATAACTTTACTGAAAATTAGGCCTGTAAATATGTAAAAATTATAGAACAAAATAAAGATTACTTGAGAAATCGGTTAGCGTTATTATGACTATCAAATTAATATTAGAATGGGCTCAATATATTAGAGGGTATCTTGTACTTGTTTGGCAGTCAAGAAAGTTGAGGAAAAAGAGTAGAAACGAAACCCTGGAGTTCTTGGCAAACAAACAGAGAGAAAGAGAAGGGTAACCGAGGAGAGTAGAGTTCGAATAAAGTCTGCAGTTGAAAATCAAAATGAATTACGGTTTCTTTTACGGAGTCCAAAACCCTGTTCTCTACAGAAAATTGTTATATAATTAAAATTTGGGGGGGAATGGTAAATACTCATAATAATAAAGGAAATGTGAAATTGGTAATGGGCTATAGGCCGAAGGGATAAGATTGGCGTGGCCCAACTATTGACCCAGGATTAATTTCGCAAGATGTCTGTCTGGGTTGTTACACAGTGTTGTTAAATAATTAAAGACAGAACTTTATTTAAATAAAACAAAATATATTTTATTAATGATCGAAATGTCAGTTAATGACATTTTCCCCCTGAGGTTTGGAGAAGGCATTACTTTGATTCAGTAAAATCTGAAAAAAGCCAAATAATCTCTATTAGACTATTGGCAGTTGAGAAAATTAAACAGTATAAGGGTTATAGTGTCATTTCCCCTTTTTTAAGAAAAAAATTAAATAAAAAAGAAACATTTAAATTCATAAAATAAATAACTAAAAAATAAAAAACAATAAAGGACAACAGAATTAAAAAAAAAAAAAAAAAAAGTGATTAAGAGTTTTAAGTTGGTTTTGAAGGTAGGGAGTTTATTTAATCTTTAATTTTAGTTGCAAAATTGTTTTTCTTTTTTTTTTTTAATGAATTCTATTAATTTTATATTTCATTATAATTAATTATATATAATCTCTAAAGTCTACATTTTATATATATATTATATATTCTTAATTGACAAATGAGGTAAAATAGATATTTCAGTTTCAAAGCATTATAACAAGTCATTTAACTCCAACAAAATTTCCAAGAGAAATATTAGTTGAGTAATTTTATATTAAATAAAAGACCATCCACTCTCCTAATAAATCAATAAAATTGATTTTTTTTTCTTTTTCTAATCTACAAATCCAATCAATCCAGTCCAGTCCGATCAATAAAATCATCAAAATCAGTTGATCATTTGAAGTTAATCGATTTTAATTTATTTATATGATTGAACAATAGAACAAGCTAAGAAACAATAACAAGCATCTAAATTCCTTCCACACACAAAAACAATAGAGGGAGAGATAGGGATGAGAGCAAAGACTCTCCATATAGGGCTTTTCATTTGACAATTTGAACTCACCAGTCAATGCATCCATCATATAATTTTCTTGCCACATACCACAAGTTTAGGACATTACATGAATACAACGGTCTCAAGATCCTCAAACGATGACAAACTGAATGATGATATAACACGACAACAAATCGTATGACATCAAGTAGTGATTGAGTTATAAACTTCATTACAACAAAAAAAATAAGTTTGGAGGTTAAAGAGAGATGTACGGTATGGTACCCAGCAGGGTTTCACAACTTCCTCATTAGGAGAAACAGCTTGGTCAAGCTCAAAACTGGGTGATATAAGAAGATCCCTTCAGCATCATAAGAAGCCCACCATATGAAAACTATATATCTCTGAAGAAGAAAAAAGCAAAGCAATCAAAATGTGAAATAAAGAAAACCGCTAAGTCACTTAAGCTTTACGAAATCCATGTCTCTCTGAAATTGGATTTGAAATAACATAAATCTCATATTCGTATATCAAATGAGCACTGTAACTAGACATGAACAAATCATAAACACAAAGTAAATGTTTTGGGTGGATTCCTACGCTTTCAGTGTTTCCCGGAGCCTTCATCTGAGATCTTGTAGAGCTTTCCATGCATAATGTATTCAAACTTGGCAGCAAGAGATTTCCCACCCTGGAATAGAAAGAGTAAACTGATTATATGGATATATAACGACTATAACACATAAATAGGGAAACAGAGGACAGATAAACAAATTCAAAACGACAATATGCATATAATTGAGGACTTTTTAAGATATTATTTGCAATAATTATGGTCAATGGTTTCTCTTATTTCCAATATCAAACCACTTAAATGATCAGGATAATAATCAGTCCTCCATTATCTCTTAAAATCCTCAATATCTAAACCATCTTCTTTCACCTTTTATATCAGAAACTAATTCTTTCCTCAATGTCTTCTACCAGTGTTTGCTGAAACTTTCTTTAGGTTAACTCAGTGCTTCATACTAGTCCTTTCGATAGAACAGTTATGGAAGGCTGATGTACAGTCGAAGAACAAAAAAGCCATAATATCATTATCAAATGAGATGCTAAATTCCAACTGGGAGCAAGAGTTGAAAATCTTGAATACGTAGACTCTTCCCTTAAACTTAACTTGCATATAACTTTGCAAGTAAAAATGTTTGCGAGCATGTAAAACCTTTTGCATATTCATAAAGGGAGGAGGGGTAACATTGCAAATTCCTAAAAGAAAACAGCATGATTAATGCACTTTGACAATTCTTCAAGATGTCATGTCAAAAGTAGACAGACAAGTATAATCAATTTCCATAAATGAGGCCACGTATTAGTAAAAACCAAAGAAGATAATTAGAGACTTCGCACAATTATATACCCAAGCTAATCTTTCAACAGCTATAACATTGCTTGAGAAGACAAAAACAAAAAAATCCTTATAGCAATGAACTCATACCACATAATATTACAAGAGTGAAACCAACCTGAGTAAATAGCCAGTCTGGTGTTCCATCCAGATTTAATGTGTGAGCCAATGCCAAGCAAATTTATCACCTACACAGCATAGGATATACTCTACGTTCAAATCCAGCAGCATGTACATGTCACAGTTCTGACTCGTGCTTCAATGCGAGAAACTGCATACCACACCAAAACATAAACCTCAAAGGTCCAAAATAAAACTAACAAATCAAATAGAAATTAAAAGGTTCATTGAACATCTGGTAGAAACAACCAGCATAAAACTAAGGAGATTCCAGGGCAGAAAAACAATACATTATTCCTAGAATAATCACTTGATGATAATGTAGCTAATACTAGTATAACTCAGTTGCATATTGTACACATATAAATATATCTTAACCTAAAAAAAAACAGATAGTCTCTGTTCTTGATAGGCAATGTAAAAGCACCAGAGCATGGATGGAATGCTATTTATTAACATTTTTGATAAAAAGTGCTTACGCAAAACCACCAAAAGAACTTTTTGAATTATAAAGTGCTTATTTTAATTGTTTATTCATGCTTTCTAAAACAACATACCCAGTTTGTTGTAAGAAAAGCACTCTGCTTCTTTAAAGAAAGAGTGCTATTACCTATTTCAGCCAAATAAAGAGAAATAAATTATAAAAATTTGATAGCACTTCTGACAGTGCAAAAAAAGGAAAAAATAAAAAAGACCTTCTAAAAGCAGCATAAACAAGAAAAATAAAAAAGATGAGCAATAGAACTCAAAATATACCCTTGTCAAACTTTTTTCCTATTGGGTCTATCTTATCGACAACAAAAATATCCTCAAACAGTATTATACTTGACATCCTTAGTGCAAATAAAATCCCTCAGCAGTAACAGTCCACCTGAAAAAATAGTACAAATGAACTCATAAGATTAATAAAACACACTGACCAACAATAACAACAGCAATAAGAAAGTACAACACTACAAAATTATGAACTACCATATCACTGAGAGGACAATCCCAAAGATGTAACTGGAATTAACAGATTTTAGTAACGAGAGTGTCAGATTGGCAACACTAAATTTCAAATTGGTTCCAAAACATAAAAAACAACATCACATAAAAAAGCACCAACAAATAGTAGCCGGTAAGGTTACTTTATACAGTTCCAGAGACACTCTCTCTCAACCCCTAATTTTCATTTTTCTCCAGAACAAAAAATAATATGTGACCCATAGCCTTCCAGTAACATTAATCGCTACCGGGCTTCTCCTAAAATAAACTTTAAACATGGATACTACACTATGTAGCATAACTTAGAGATAAAAGACTATCACATCAGACTTTTACTTGCAAAAACATTTGTTCTCTTTACTGAATATGAAAGCATAAAAATAGGACATTTCCCACTCGCCCTTATAATATTTTCACCATCACCATCAACAAATAAATAAATAAATAATAGAAGAAAAACACCACTGAAACTAACAAAGAATTCAACCACAATAATAAAATGCTTTCCTAGGAGCTTTCTCTTCTCAGAGAAGCCTATTTTCGAAAACAAATTGCCAAGTGCCACAAGGTTTTCTTCAACAGCAGACCCATTTAAAGGAAGAGCGACAGACAAGAACAGCAAACAATGATTCAAACAATAAATAATATCGAACAACCAAGTTATCACCCACTTCATTAAACTTCGTTCACAACTTTGTTTTGCAAAATTTCAAACAAATAACAATTCTAGCACTAAGAACTTCAGGAAACAAGCAGGCCTTAACAGTGAGCTGAAGTAAAAAAAAAAATGAAAAATAAATCATTAAAAAATAGCCATTATCAAGTATTTATGCTTAAAACCCATGTTTGTTTTGTAGTATTGAAGCTAGTAAATGGAAGAGAAGACTGAGAGCGAACCTGGGTTTAGGGTTTTTCGGAGGACTCTTCGGAGCTGACGCTGGAAGGTAGCACGGAGGAGTTTTTATACTGGATGTGAAATTAACGCAATTTTTAGAGGAACAATTGGGTCACTTGCGGGTGAGAAATGTTGATGTTTAGCCAATGAGATCAAGCCACGTAACAAGTGCAGTTTTTTATTTTCAGTAAACAAATTTACATTGGGGATGAGGAATTGAGGAGATTTTAATAGAAGGGTTATGAAAATTAATTTTGGGAAGATTTAAATGTGAAATAAGAATTATGAAAAAAATTTAGGTGGAATTAAATTGGATATAGCACCTTATTTATTAATTTTGTTAAATAATATAACATTTATAAATTTCATTTTTTAATTATGTAGTTTAAATTAATGTGATGATTGATTTGATATTTTATGATCTTTGAGATGATGATATGTGTTGTATAATTGCAATATATTTACTATGATATTATTATCATATGGAGTCAGAAAACAAACTTCATTAGTGTACTATTATTCTAATATCATTTTTTTTTTTTAATAATTGAGATATTCGGGTATAATTGCTAGTCCAGTCCGCTTAATCCTTAGGATCACATCACCCCTTACAGGCTTAATGAACCTAGATAATTGCATGACACAATATTGTGATAAATACCTCTCTTAGAGACTCAAACATAAGACTCTTGGGTATAGCTAACACTAGTGAGTTTTATAGGCCCTTGGGATAGAAATCAATCGATCATATTATAGACTTGTAGTCTAGAAGAAAACATGTATCACGAACTCTGTCAAAACATGGCGGATGCAGGGAATGACAGGAAAGACGCTGATGCAGAGCCTCAACCTGGGATAGTCACGCCTATGACCCCCGTAGCTGCCGGGCTCCTACTTGATACGCGCGTGATGACCAGAGGTGCGTGCACTTCCCCCGCCGCCGGAGGCGAACGAGGAGGCGGCGCTGTCGTGGGAGACGTTCGGAAGAAGGAGGCGCGCGAGGGCACGACGGTTAGTCCGCGACCGTAGCAAATGGTTACCACACCGTACGATTCCGCGCCCCACGCGTCGCGATCCTCCGGTGGTTGCTCATACCTGACCTGTTCCGCGTTTTCCCCCCGCGTTCTGGAGCCGCTCTTGCCCCCGCTGGCACCCGCGCGCCTGACCAGGCGTGGCGGCGCCAGTGGCTCCGTCGCTCGCGCGACCGTAGGCCACCCGGCCCCGGCCAGTTGGTGGCGAAATTCCAGCGGTGGGCGCGTGGCCATACTCGGGGGCCAGATGCGATCGCCAGCCTCAGCTCCCGTGTTGCACTGGACCTTCCCCTGGCCGATGCCCCCGTCCCACGCGAGGCCCAATTACCCGCCCGCCCGTGCGGGGCAGCACCCATCCATGCGAGGCGGGTTTACCGGTGGCTGGTGGCAGCGCGGTGGACTGGCGGCTGCTGGAGCTCACGTGGCGGCGCGGTGGAGGCGAAGGAAGCGGGATGTAAAAATGAAGAAAGGGGAGGAAGTGGGCCGCAAATGGACTCAAATAGTGATGGCCAATAGGGAAAAAGAAAAAAACTCTTCATGCCTATTACAATGGATTAGGAAGTAATGGTCATAAAGTGTAGACAAGGGATTATCCCCAGGAAGGTTTGAAAAGTGTGTGCGATGGGCACGTGGTCTTGAGGACTTGATGAGTTATTTTTGCTTAATTTTCCTTATTTTTGCCTATGATTTCCATACTAACTTGTTATTTTTTTGATTTGATAGACATCGAGAGATATTGGTACTAATGAGGGCTATAACTGACTAGTGATGGTGATCTTTGTTTCCGCGCCGTGTGCCATCACCGATGTGGCGTTTGGCCAAACGCTTGGTTTCGACATATCGCACTTTAATAAAAATGTCGTTGCTATTGGTGGCGCAAAAGGAGCAAAGCGAAAAAAATTGGCCCCAGAACAGTTGGACTCGCATTCTTGATGATTTTCAGTTTGATGACAGGATTATGCAGTATGTACGGGGGGATTGGCCCAAATATGGGCCACGGTTGGGTCTTGTTGAAAGGTGTACGCATCATCTCGCAAACAGATGCACTGGATAGCAGTCGTCACGCATTTAGAGGGAGGGGTTGCTGAAGACCCTTGACTACAACCCAACTATTATCGAGACAGGCAGTTGGAGGTCGAGTTGGAGCCACTGTTCCAGGTTGTTCCCACGACTGTTGCGTCTAGCGGGATGTTGGGCACTTAGTGATCAAGTAGTATCGGAAAGTGGTCACTTAAGCACTCTACCGGCCCAATAAATGAGTCAAGGTAAATTTTGTAGAAAACTAACTTACATAATAATTGTTCTATAGTTTATTCTAATGCTAATGTCTTCTTCCTATTGTAGTACTGAATGTAGGGCATATGCCCTGAAATTATTCAGTTGACCATGACCACACTCCGATGGACTGCTGAATGATGAAACAATGTGAGAACTGTTGGGAGCGTTGGGCTGTCGATTTACTTCATGGCGCAGAGGATTATTTTGTAGTGACCAGAAACATTGTAAAGAATTGGATCTGACATTTGGGAATGGTATTTCTTGAGGACATTAATTCAAAGATAAAGACAATCAAATCACAATATCGCCATCTAAAGCCAATTGCTAGATAAGATATAGATAATAAGCTTCTAAAGAAGGTATAGATCCTAGGTCTTGATTTTAAATCTGATGGTCAACTGTTATTTTGCGGTGTTGTTGGTCTTGTTCTGATAGAAAAGAGTTGTCTTTGAAGCAAAGAGTTCTGTTGAATTTATCTGGTGCATGTTTTGTTACTAGTATTTCTGCAATTGTTTGCCTTATAACTTTTAATTTGATATCTCCTTTTAGGTCTCCTTCTGTTTCTCGAATCCTAGCCAAAATGCTATATGCAACGACCTAAGATAGGTTCAAGAGGGCTTTGAGGGCATTCACTATGAAATCTAGGCCATTGACCCAACTGAGAGGATTTTGAGGTGCTCAAAGAGCGTGCACATTGATTAACTCAAGGCAAAGGGCTTGCATCTTTAAGAGACAACAATGGGGCTTTTGGCATTCTAAAGGATCATCTTTCCCGCTTCATTAGTTGCTGGATTTGCACTATTTTTTTTTATACATAGTACATATAGTTTGTGCCTGTAGAATCATTGTAAAGAATTGGATCTGACTTTAGGAGATATTGTTTGTTTGTCCATATAAGATATCTCATTAGCAGTTTGAATTTACTATGTGTGGTGTGATCATTTGCTTCACCAAGTTTGATAATGGTTTTTTTAGCGTTTGTGTTTATTTGTATATCACTACAATGTGTGATGTACTGGTGTGATTATTGATTCACCCAGTTGGGGCTAATGGTTAGCTTGTCCAATCAATTTCGATTTTGCCAGCATCCCATGCCTTTTTTATTTTGTGTTTCATAATAGATTACATTGATGTCTCTTATATTTTGATTTGTGATGATTGATGATACAAATTACTTAATTTTGCGATACAAATTCTTTTCAGAGAGAGGGAAATGAGTGATGTACAAATGTTCCCATCACAGTCATTTCGAAATTAATTAACTTAAGACAGGCATGGTACCAAACATTACGTATATGATCGCACCACATATATCTTTAACACGACCAAGACTTTTCCTAGAAATGATCGCTTAGTGATTCTCAATCACTTAAGTGACCAGAGTCTATTACGAGCAGTCGCTTAAAGCGATACATAAGAATCGCTTAAGCGATTACCCATCGGGCAGATATTCATTCGCTCGCCAAAATCACTTAAGTACCCAAATTACTAAGCGACAAAAACTCTTTTTGGAAGAATCGCTTAAGCGATACATAAGATCGCTTAAACGATCATAGATCTGGACATATATTCATTTTTCCTCAGACCAAGATCGCTTAACGATCAAATCGCTTAACGACCACGAGTCTTTATAAATCGATTAAGCGATACATGATTGCTTAAGCGATCATAGATTTGAGCAAATTCATTCTGCCTCAGACAAAAGTCGATCTCAAATCATTTAAGCGACCAAGCAGTCCTTTAATAAAAATCGTTTAAGCGATACAAATGGATCGATTAAGTGATTTTCGATCGCGGAATCTACTGTGGACTAGATGCTTAAACAATTACCAATCGCTTAAGCGACCAGGAGTAAAAGCGAAAATCGCTTACGAGTACAGACGATCGAAGCACCAGACTAAAAGCAAAGAATCGTTTAAGCAATACAGACGGATCGCTAAGCTACTAAAGTAAAAGCAAAGAATCGCTTAAGCGATCCTAATGTATTCGGATACTATTTATTGTATTTCAGAGCATCGGTTAAGCTATTAACGCTATGCTAACATATAGGGTTTACGATTCGTTCAGTGAACCATGAATGTTATCATATTTATATTAAACATATAGTTCTTTTACCTCAATATGAAACATAATGGTGTATAATATTTATGTCAATGCTAAATATATAAGGTTTACGATTCGTCAGTGGAATGACCGATACTATTTTATATTAAACTATAGTTTTTTATGTCAGTATGAAACTATAAGGTGTATATGTTTACGTCACATGCTAAACAAATAGGGTTTATGATTCGTTCAGTGGATCATAACCGTTATCATATTATAATTAACATATAGTTCTTTTATGTCAATATGAAACTATAAGGTATAAAATGTTTACGTCTATGCTAAACATATAGGGTTTATGATTCGTTCAGTGGACCATGACCGTTATTATATTATAAGGTAACCATGGAATCTAGTGAACTATGTTCTTCTTCTTTGTTTAGATGTATAAAGGGTGCGTTTGGTTGAATATTTCATAAATATTACAAATCATATTCCCAAATATTTCTTTGTTTAATTATTTAGGAAATATTAGTATTTTTTTTGATTAATTTTAGACCCATTATTAGAATTAATTCATTAACCACCTGAAAAAGTGTTAAAAATTAACAAAATACCCACACCACCCAACTTCCCAGATTCTGAGCTACTATCGACAGCTACAAACGACCGAAATGGCAGGTAATTCACAGTTGTGCCTTTCCAGCTAGATCTG